ATGGATATTTGTGGTACAACAAAGTCAACGTTAATGTGGATTTTAAAAATCATTATGTTAGACTTGCCATATTGAGAATATGGAATAAATACAAACCCAGGTTGTGCCCAGAAACCTTTGTGACTCTTAGCACAAGCAGCATTTTATAGATGAGAAATAATAGGCAAACACAAATGGCTAAGTTATCATAAGATGTTAGAATTTTTTCAAGGGAGATGTAAAATAAAATGAAAAGAAAAACTGGTGGCAAAGGGATATAGCTGTCAATGGTTTTCTTATTTACAGTTATTAGAAACATTTAAAGTAGATAAAAGAGTTTATGGTTTTGAACACAGAGTTTGAAATAGAATTGCGTACAAATCATGAACATGTAATTGCTAAAATATATAAACTTTTACTGAAATTTGAAACAGAAGAAGAACAAGCAAAAGAATATATGATAAAGTGGGCTAAAAATTTTGGTTATAATATACAGATGGGACAATGGGAAAATATGTGGTTGAAAGGATTGAAATTTACACTATGTTATAATCTTAAAGAGAATTTTTATAAATGATAAAGTGGGCTAAAAATTTTGGTTATAATATACAGATGGGACAATGGGAAAATATGTGGTTGAAAGGATTGAAATTTACACTATGTTATAATCTTAAAGAGAATTTTTATAAAATGATGTACTGTTGGTGTATGTCACCAGAGAAATTGTCTAAAATGTATAAAGGCACTTCAAATTTATGTTGGAAATGTGAACAAGAAGAAGGGACATTTTATCATGTTTGGTGGATGTGTAAAAAAGCTAGAAAATTTTGGATTTGAATACACACACAGATTCAGAGGATTTTAAAGATTAATATACAATTGAGACCAGAGGTTTTTCTTTTGGGATTGAGGGACAAACAGTTGGAAAAAAGTCACAGAACTTTGTTTTTGTACATGATAACTGCAGCTAGATTATTGTATGCACAAAGATGGAAAGATTCAGCATCACCCACAATGGAGGAATGATTGGTAAACATGATGGAACTTGCTGAAATGGCTAAATGGACTTCTTTGATCAGAGAAAAGGCAAGATTACCTTTATTGCTGACTGGAAACCCCTTATGGACTATTTGCATAAAACAGAAAAAATGAGCTTATGATTTATGGTTTTGATGATTAGACAGGATAGATTATAGAAAGAAGAGAGTTATGTT